GGGGGGGGGGGGGGGGGGTCACTTCCTCGGCACCTGCAGACCCTTCCTTTTCGCTTCAGTGAATGCACAAAGGCTCCGTTGGCTTACCTGCAGCAAGCACCTGCTGCTTCAAACAACTAAGAAGAAAGCCCAGGGACGCACACACAGAATTTTCTGAATACAGGAAAAAGAATTGTAAATTAAAGGTGTTTCACTTTCAGAATAGCAGGCAACGTCAAACCAGCTTAAAGAAAGTAAAGCACGCCAGTAAACGCTTCCAGTAGCTAATGTATACAGTTCAGCTTCCGATGACAAAAAGCGAAAGGCTACAAAATAACCTTTCTCACAATTGCAGTTTTACCATCTCACTAGCCTTAATTTCCGTTTATTATTTTATTAACAACAAAAATCAACCAAAATTGAACTGATATATAAATATGATAAAGTAATATGTTAATATTTGTTTACATAAAAGTTATATGTGTGTGTGTGTATATATATGTATACTTTAGTACGATTAAACGTTGTAAAGAACGGACAAAGTTATATTTGACCTTCACGAGCCGGTAGTCAAATTTTGAAGATTACTCTCTTCTGGGTTATTACCCCGTGTGGTCGCGTATAAATTGACCGACATTTCAGAGGTGCTTACTACCTCCATTATCAGGGAGATAGTCTTGTGAAAAATGACGGAAGATAGTCACCTTCATACTCTGAAATCTCGCTTAAAATTTTGGCAGCACACCCCTGTTCAGGGTCATAGGCAAAGGTAGAACAATGTCTTGGAGAACTGTTTACAACCAAACCTGCAAAGCGGTCACAAACACGTCTAAGAAGATGGGCTCTCTTTGTGTGTGCCTGTGGCTTCAGGTCAGGTGTAGCAGGAGATGCCCAGCTAGACCCAACAATGACGTGGCGAAAGTATGAGTCATCTTACTACGGTGTTTGTGCCGTATGGGAGGAGCACAAGGAGAAGTGCGAAGACCGGTTTGTGCAGCATCGAATTAAACGCACAAAATCTTCATCGTGTAGAAAGTGGGCTAGTCTGTTAAAAAAAGGCTGTGTAAGCTAACATTCCACTGGTAAGTGCTTAACTAACACAAGGTAATACGAACAGCGTGGATTATATAGGCCATCAAAGCAGAAAAGTAGGCCTATGTATTCACACCTAGTCACCTGAATTCAAAATAAATTTATATGCAGACGTGCTATAAAAATAGGTAATAAATATTTTGAAGATAAAGTATTTGGATTCAATAACAAAAAATTAAAATAATATCAAGTAACAAATTGAGAGGAAATTAAATTCAGTAAGTGCGTAATATTTTGTTTTGCCTTGTCCTATCCAGAAGCGTAAAGGTTAAGATACACTTTTTTTTCTGTTGAGGGTGTTTGAGAATAAAGTGTTGAGGATCATATTTGATCTAAAACGGAAGAATTGAGGGATGAACAAATTAAATAATGAGGAGAATCAGTGTTTGTACCATTCACTTAATAATTAAATCAAAGATGAGACGAGCAGGACTTGAAATGCAGAGGTGTATATACTTTTTATTGGAAAACCAAAGGAAAAGGAGTCAATTTGAGATAACTTCGTTTGTAGACGGGAAGATAATATCAAAGTGGGTTATAAGAAAATCAGATGTGGAAGTGTGAACTGGATTGCACTAGTCCAAGGCAGTTTTAATTGGACGGCTTTGGTTTTGGACGATAAACCTGTCGGTTACTTAAAATAAGCAATTTCTTGACTGGTTGAATAATTATGAGCTACTGACGGAAAACATTTATGGCTTTCTATC